TTAGGACTTATTTCTTATCTTGTTACTCATCAGGAAAAGAAGTTTTATTACTGATGCAAGCGCTAAACACCCTTTCAACCCCAGAGGAGAAGCTGGCAGCTCTCTGTAAGAAATATGCTGATCTTGTGAGTATTAAATTAAAAGCGTGAGGGACGTATGAAATAAAGCTGAATATGTGTATATTTGACAAGCTTTCCAAAATGTACTTTCGATGTAGCTTAAAATGTAAAATTAGCTCGGCGTGGTGGCGCACACCTTTAATCCCAGCACTCAGGAGGCAGTGGCAGGCAGATCTCTGTGAATTCAAGGCCAGCCTGGTCTACACAGTGAGTTCCAGGACAGCTGGGGCTACAGGGAGACCCTGTCTCAAAAAGACCAAAAAAATGCTATTTCTTATCAGACTGGCAAAAAAAATTTAAATGGATTCTGTTTGATCAGAACAAGCTGGAGAAATAGGTACTCGTGATTAACAGCAATGAAAATTTACCTTGAAAAATGTTTTTGAAGGGCAATTAGGAAATATTTAAAATGCACTTATAGATGTGCACGTGTGCATAAATGCCGAACTCCAGAAGAACACCCAGGAAGAATATATAATGAACTTAATGGTATTTCTACCTTTTAGAAGAGGAGGGACAGTAAAGGCAGACATGCACTTTGACTTTTATAGCAGAACTTTAAATTTGGATGGCCACATGATATTTCTGTAATTAAAGATTTTAAATGAAAAAGCCACACAAAGTATTTTAAAAATTAAATAGACACAATATTTCCATCTTTAAGTATCCTTTTAAGATGGACAGGTAGGTGCTAAGAAGCAGAGTTCATTTGTATTTGAATAAATTTTGGCAATTGGGCCCTATCTTAGTATAGGAGGACAAGGGTTTCATGACCCGATTGAGAGGGATTCCTCAACTGACAAGAATGTACATGGGGATCCCAGCTCATTCCCTGGGCATTACTGAACGAGGCTTATTTAAAGTAATTAAATATAAAAAGTCATCTTAGGAAAAGTATTTTGAAATAAAGTTTAGAAAAATTGCATTTTTAATAAAAATAATGAATTCTATTATTAATTTCCATCTTTCTTTCTGGCAGATGTCGTCTCAGTTTTAAAGCCAAATAAATGACCTTGCCAAACCAAATTGATAGAATTGCCTTTTTCAGGCCAGAATCCAGAAAGCCTTCCAAAAAATCCTTTGTTGTTAAGTTTCAAAAATTTAAGCAAAAAAGTGGGACATTTAAAATATAAGAAGAGTCTGGCATAGTGGCTCATAACTATAATCTCAGCAGCTGGGAGACTGAGGCAGGAGGATTGCTGCGAATTTTAAGACAGTATGAACTACATAATGAGTCCCTAGTCAGCATGGGATGTAGAGTGAGGTCCTGTTTCAAAAAAATTAATTAAAGGAACACAATGACAGACAGAAGAGACCTCCCTTTGAGTGCTTGGTGAAGGTCATCCAGGAGACTCCCAAAATAACACAGGCTCTTGCCAAACCTCTTGATTATCACCCAGAACTAGTAGATAAGACCCCTACTGCTGAGGACAGGACGTGCTTTGAATACAGGACTTAGAGCAGTGGAACAGGCACTGACCTGGAAGCCTCCTAACTGAAGTTTGGCTATCATAAAGCTAGATGATGATATGCAAACCGTCAAGGGAGAAAAACAATCAATGGTCCAAGCCAGCCCTAAACCCTAATAACCACAACAACTGGCATGGCAGACTACCTCTGTTGGTGTAGTAGTGGCACTGTTATCTGTGGGGCAACAACAGTTATCTGATTGGACATAAAGCCTTCTCAATGAGAGGGAACTCATGGGTGGCACTATAAACTCAGCCAAATACATATGGCAGGAGAGGACACAGATCCCAGAGAAATCTCTATCTCTTTCATATCTCTAGACAAATGAAATTTATGACTATATGCTAAATATTGATCTTTGTATTTACAGACACATATACAGTACAACGCTCATGGGGGTGCTTCTTTTTGCAACAGATGGAGGCTACTGCAGAATTGCACATCTGGTCAGACATAGAGAACATACGTCTAAGAGATGCCCAGTACTAGGTGACACATCTACAGTTGAACCTCTACAACTAAGGCTCATGGAACATAGCAGAGCAAGGGGTAGAGAAAAAACTAATGCGTCCCTCAACTCTCACCAGTAAAGCTTCCTTATACAATGGAGGCCACAGAGAAGGCCACAACTGGCCAAGTTTAAAGGACCAAGAGACTGCAGAGTATATATCCTTGGATAGGAGTCCTATACGGAACCTCACCCATCCATGACTCAGGGACCATTGCGGAAGAGGGTGTGGAAAGGTTGTAGGAGCCAGGGCTGATTCATGAACACAGGGAAGCAGAGGCTTTCAGGCTGCTAGAAGCGTGTACATGTGAACTTGTGGCAATGGCGGCATTGATGAGTTGACCATGTCAACTCAGTTAAACAAGGGCCTAGAGGGAAGGAGAGAAATGGGTGGTGGGCCAGCCCTAGATTGAGAACTATTGGAGACTGGTTGCTGCTGGGTGAGGGAGACTCTGCCTTACATGTGATCTCTAGATGGCCTGACTAGACTCCAGTGGACAAATTTACACTGAGGGACATCTGAATAAAAATGTTTGAACGGATAGGACTTAACACGTATGGTAGAATACATGAGGTCTGGTGGAGGGGGTCTAAATTTGACTGGGAACTATTGTATGAAATTACAAAAGCTCAATAAAATTTAAAAAAAAAGGTAAATAGGGGCCCAGACCTTTGCAGACTTCCTGGGAGTGCCTGAATCTGGCCTCTGTGTGATACTCAGGGATGCAAACAACCTAGGTGTCCCTCAACTGACAAGTGGCTAATGAAAATGTGGTACATTTATACAATGGCGCTCTACTCAGTGTAAAGAAAGACAAAATCATGAAATTTGCAGGTAAATGGATGGAACCAGAAACTGTTATACTAAGTGAAGTAACACAGACTCAGAAAAGCAAATGACATATATCCTCCCTCATATGTGGAGCCTAGCACCAAATCCTTATGTGTGCGTATATCGTGATGTAACTACAGGAACCTGGAGAATGGAAAGGAACCACAGAGGTAAAGGGAAAGAAGGAGACAGAGAGAATAGTAGGAGATAGGTGTTACTAAGGGAGAAATGGGCAAAATGGGGGTATTTAAATCGGAGGAGGAGAGAGGGTTATATGAGGAACTATGGGGATAAAAGGGAAGGAGTTCAAGAGAGGTGGGACCATCAGAGACAGGTCTTATCAAGGGAGAAACGGGGAAAATGGGGATACTTTAAGTGCGGAGGGCATACAAGGAGGGTTAGACAGCGAGAGAGAGAAAGGAGAAATAAATAATGCCTAGCTAGTGTGAAAAAAAAAACCAGAGGGAATTGTATTGGTCCAAAAACCTACTGAAAAATTACACATGCAACATCTCTACCTGTGTCCATGTGTACAGCTGAAGGCTGTAAAACAAGAAACAGTGCCAGACAGGAGAAACTGCCCTTTGAGTTGTTGGTCTGGGTAGTCCAAGGGACTCCCAAAATTACACAGGCTATTGCCACAGCCCTTGATTGCCACCCAGAACTTGAAGGTAAGACCCTATTGCTGAAGATAGGAAATACTTTGGACACAGAATTTGGAGCGAGGAAGCTGGAACTGATCTGGAAGCCACCTCTCCTGAACGCTAGCTCTCACAGATTTGGAGAACACTATGCAAGCTGCTAACGGAGAAGAATATCAATGGATGATCTGACCTCAGTTTCAAGGCCTAATAACCACAACAATGACTGGCACAGCAAACTATATTGGTGCAGTAGTGACACTTCTATCTTGGGGGTAATCAACAGCTATTTAATTGGACTTTAAGCCCACTCATTAGGAGAAAACATGTGTGGTACTGTAAACACAGTCAAATATAAATGGCTGGAGAGGTCATAGATCTTGGAGAAAAACCCTAAGGTTGTAACATTCTTAGACAAATGTAATGTCTTACTATGTGCAAAATATGAATCCTTCATATTTACAGAGAAGTATCCTGGTCACCACTCATCAAAGAAGCTTCTTTTGTGACAGATGGAGGTTATTACAGAGTTCCACAAGTGTTCATACACAGAGATTGTCTGTGAATTGCTCAAGCATAAGTGGCACATCTACAATGGAACCTCTACACCTAAAGCTCACGGAACACAGAACAAGGGATGACGAGAACACTAATGCATCTTTCAATTCTCATCAATGAAGCTCCCTCATGCAACAGCAGGCCAGGAACACAAAAGGTCACAAATGGCCAACGCACAGAAAATAAGATTCTACAGAGCGTGGGTCCCTGGATAGGGCTCCTATATTAAACTCCACCCACCCTGGGCTCAGGGACCATTGTGGAAGAGGGGGAAGAAAGATTGTAAGAGCCAGGGGAGGAGGTGCATGGCCATGTGGAAGTGAGTCCTTGCTCATATGAGCCTACAGCAATGGTGTCAGCATGTATAAGACCTATGCAAGCTCGAGCAGACAGAAACCCAGGATAGAACTGTGGAAATGGGCAGCAGGCCCCAATTTTAGTCGAAGAATAATTGGCAGTTGATTACTGCTGGGTGAGGAAGAGCTGATCTTCCTAAAGCGAGAGACTCTAGATAGGCTGACTAGACCTCAGTGGATGAACTTTCACTGAGGGACGTCTGGGGACACTAACTTGACACGATAGGCCTTAACACAAATGACAGAATGCATGAATTCCAATGGGGGGGGTCTATTGGAGGGTGCTAATGGGAAGGAGGTATAATGATGATGAAGAATTGTTCTGTACGAAATGCACAGAAATTCAATAAAAAGTTTACAAATAATAATAATGGGAGGGATAGACTGTAGCTCATTGGTGGAGTACTTGTCTAACATGTGCAAGCTCCTTCGTTTTATCCTCTGCAAAACACAAACACACACACACACACACACACACACACACACACACACAAGTAAGAGATTCGATATTCTTACCTGGTCTTCAAAAGACAGAGCCTGGGCGACGTCCCTTGGGAACCCATCGATAACAACGCCTTCTTCATCAGGCATTTGCATCAACTTTTGCTTTATCTCAGTAATTGTTGTTTCCTATGGTAAAAGTGAAAATCACAACTAAGCATGGAACCCTAGGAACCTGCACAGACATTGTCTTGGGAGGGAAGCGCATCATCGTGCGGTGTACCTGTGGGGCCAGCTCCCCGTTGGTGATGATCTTGGCAATTAGACTCCACTTCCTGTTGCTGCTGGCGCTGTGGATTTTCTTTCTCAGTAATTCTCCCACTGAAATGCACTGGAATCCATAACGTTCTGCGATTTTCAAACTCTGGGTGCCCTTGCCACTTCCTGGACCACCTGGTATTCAGATAGGCAACACAGTGACCTTATACAGCAAGAAACTCTGTCTTACACCACCACCATTCTCAGAGGAGGTAAGGACTTGGGAGCCCCATCTAGGGTCGGATGTGACTCTGTCTGTAGTGTTCTTGGGCTCCTTCTGACTGCAGAGCAAACGACTCAGTCAAGGGAGAGCAGAGATGTCTTGACCAACTGTACCTAGCTAAGGGGACTGTGTTCCCAGTGTACCTAGCTTAGTACAGCAACTCACTAGGGTGGGGATGCAGCCCGAGGGCGTGCTGCTTGGCATGAAGCCCTGGATTCCATCCCCATCACCACACAAATAACCACTACCAACAATGATAACAAGAAAAGTAACTTAAGACTCAGTCAATGGAAGATCTAATAGTTTTCCCTTCTGGAATCAAAAAGCATACCCTATGGAATATAAGAAGCAGTGATCAAAGTGGGTTCCCAGACTTTCAAAGAGTTACCATGCAATGTGGTGAAATCTGATGATTATTTTAAAGCCAAACACATGCCAGGATTGACATACCTTATGTCAGCCAGTTTTCCTGAAATCTTTTTGCTGAAGCATGTCCTTGCCTTAGCTACTTTGAATTCACAAGTCTTTAAAAATTATTTTATTTATTATTTTTATGTGCATGAATGTATTGCCTGCATGTGTGTAAGTGCACCCATGTGGTGCAGTGCCTGTGGAGGTCAGAAGAGGGCATCAGATCCCCTGGAACTGGAGTTATGGATAGTTGTTAGCTGTTATGTAGGTGCTGGGGACCAAACCCAGGTCTTCTGCAAGAGCAGCCAGTGCTCTTAACTGCAGAGCTATCTCTCCAGTCCCTGAATTCACAAATTTTATGAAGGAAAAATGCAGAGTGAATAAAATAGATCCTTAAGGTAGAAAAATTTCATAGAATGCTTCACTGTGATATGAAATAATCAACATTTCAGTCTAACTCAGTACTAGCTAGTAACTTGCATTTTCTTTTTAAAATAACTAAAAACCAACAGTAAAATGTTAACATGTACCTTAGATTTTATTTCAAATCATACTCGATTGCATGTTAGTTTGTATTTCTAAACAACCTAAATTAACTGGAATCTAGCGTTAGACTACATTTTGATATAAAATAGATAGTAATTAACCCAGTCTGTAGTTACTGGATGATAATTATCTAAATGAAGTATTTAGTCATTGAATGTATGCAAAATATTTTAAAAGTTGATGTTTAATAAGTAATGAAATGTAGAAATATTCAACAAAGCAGCATTACAGTCTGTTCAGCAATGTTGACAATAAAAATCAACAGAAAAGAGAGTTTTTGCTACAAATATCAAAATTTTTTAGGGCTGAAATAATTTTACATATAATCACTTAGGTATTTTATTCTTTTAAATAACATAAGTGAAGAAGAAAGGCTTTGTTTTGTTTTAATAAGCATAGTTCAGAGTGGGCATATTTGGTTTTCAGAATTCTCAGAATAACAAATACAAACAAGCAATTAGAGTCCATTTCCTACAGCTACTGGTTCTGTGAATCTTTCTGAGCCCAAATTCCAAATAACAGTCCATCAAATAATGTCTAGCTTTCATTTTTTATTGCTTCTATTAAATTGAGCATAGGAATGCTTTTTACATTTTGACCATCCTCTTTCTAAGATATCCTACTTGACTAAGCATTTGTGATTTCTGCTTCTACCAAGTTAAATGACCCTCCCCCTCCCCCATCCTCCCCTTTTCTCTCTCTGCTCCTCCTCTTCTAAGTTTTGGTTGAAAATAGCTGCTTTGGCCTTATTAACATATGCTGTTCAAGGACTGACTTGAAAGTATTTTTGTTTGTTTTGGTTTTGAGACAGGGTCTCATGTTCCCAGGCTGGCCTCAGACTCATTACATAGCTCAGGCTACCCTTGAACTTCTGACCTTCTTGCCTTCATTTCTTGACTGCTGGAATTATAGCAGTGTGCTACAATGCCTGACTTGAAAAATATTATCTGAGTGACTCAATGGATAAAGCCAAGCTTTTTTAAGTCTTGAAGAAAGCAAGTTATCTTTCAAAAGATATTTCAGGGGCTGGAGAGATGGCTCAGCAGTTAAGAGCACTGACTGTTCTTCCAGAGGACCTGGGTTCAATTCCCAGCCATCTGTAAGTCCACTTCCAGTAGATCTGACACCCTCTTCTGCCCTCTGCAGGCACTGCATGACACTGGTGTACTTACATTCATGCAGGCAAAACACTTATACACATAAAAAACGTTATTTTCACACTTGATCTCATAATCCAAATCCATTAATGATATAAACTGCTCTTCTGGAAGGTACAACTTCTGTTTCCAGTACCCATGTTAGGCAGCTCACAACTGCCTGTAAACCCAGTTCCAGAAGATCTGACACTCTCTTCTGGCCTCTGTGGGGACATATGTACATATGATACACACACACACACACACACACACGTGCACACAATAAACAATAAAAATACATCTTAAACACACTAAGGAAATCATGGTACCTTCTAGAAAAAATATAGTCAACTACTTGAAGCAACAGCAAATTAAAAAAAATGAAGATCATCACAACTGACATATAATAGCATTAATTTATCGGACGAGTTTGATTACTGAAGCTTCCTAATAAATTAGTTTTACATTTTCTAATAAGAATGAGCTTAATTTTGTTCTATTTACTTATCTCCAGTACTTATGATATCAACATGGATCTGAGTTTTTATGATTTTATTAACCTAAGACTCGTATCTATATCAAGAAGGGCAGCTTTAAAAATTTGTGAGTGCTTGAGGGGACATTTGATTGACATAGATGCACTGCCATGTGAGTATATACACCACTCCACATTTTCTTCTTGGTTGGAAGTAATAAAAATTTGTAAGATCCAAGTATAATTATGCTACAAATCCTCAAGTCAGGAAATTGCCCTAATTTTCTCAGAAGGCTTAAGATCTGCCTTTTTTTATTTTTCCTGTCCCTTCTTAGTCATTTAGAAATTACACACATGGGTCTGTGACATTCTTGTAATGTCACAAATGAGCCAAATCCATGAGCAGCAAGTTGAGCTCACTGAATTAAAAAGAACTATGAGGGCCAGTGTGATGGCTCCATGGGTAAGGGTGCTTGCCACCAAGCCTAAAGACCCGAGTTCAACCCCCAGAACCCACAGGGTAGGAAAGAGTCGATGCCTGCAAGTTGTCCTCTGACTGTCACACGTGCATTGTGGCACATGTGCTCCCACCTACACACATACACATAAATGAATGTAAAAATTAAAAACAAATAAAAAGAACTGTGAAATGGGTGAGATTTGAGAATTTATATCTTTTCCAATGATTTTGGTTTATTGAAATATTTTAGTCGTTTTCATATGAAATTCACAGTGCACAGCACAGGACATCTGGGCTGCTTTACGTGAAACAACCTGCTGGTGCTTCATGGGCAACCAAGCTCTTGTCTTTCTCATTCTGATAATAATCATCAAGTTCATGAAGAGCAAGAAAAATGGAATTGAAAGAATGTGTTCCATCCACCTATAGACCATAATGAATGGAAACAATTCCCATTCTTCGCCAGTAGCTTGCCTTTAAATTTTTATTTTCTAGGGAACAGCCTCAAATTTTAAGGCACAAAAAGTATTCCATTTTCAAGAATACAGATTTATGGACTATCAAAACACAAATATTTTTACTTGATTTTTCAAAAACTGATTTATTTCTTTCTTTGGTGGTGGTGGGAAGCAAAGTAAGGACTTTCACATGTTAGAAAAGTGCTTTATTGCACCCTTCAAACTTGACTTCTAAATACTCTTCCCATATTATCGTATTTGACCATTCAGCATTAAATATGTAATTTCATCTTCATTGCTCTGATGTATACTGTTCTAGTTTCTTTCTCCATTGCTGTGACAAAACACTGACCACTACCAACTTGGGGAGGAAAGGATTTATTTGTCTTACATCTCCAGGTCACAGCTCATCAGGGAGCCCAAGGCACGAACTCAGGGAAAGAATCTGGAGGCAGGAGCTGGAGCACAGGCCATGGAGGATCGCTGCTTTCTGTCTTGCTCCCCTGGCCCCTGCTCAGCCTGCTTTCTTATGCAACACAGGCCCACCTGCCCAGGGGTGGCATCACCCACAGTGGTCTGGGCCCTCCCACATCACTCAATAATTAAGAAGAAGCCCCACAGACATGGCCACAGGCCAGTCCAATGGAGGCAATTCCCCAATTGGGGCTCCCTCAACCCAGGTGTGTCAAGTTGACTCTAAAGCTGTCCAACACATATACAAAGCTATTCCTCTCAAGCTGAAGTTCCTGTTTCAGCTCAGCATTTATTACTATTTTCTGTTGCCATCTGCCCTGTGTCTTCTGGCTCAGGACTACTCTGCATGGGGCCCCAGGCGTTTGGTTCTCTATTAGAAGTTATTGGTTAGGGTACTTTTGGATGTTCCATGGCTAACACTTGCTTTTGGCCATCCTGGGGACGCTCCATCCAGCTGGAAAGCAGTGAGAGCTGCATGCTCACAGGCCTGTTCCTGATTTTTGTAGATTTTGAGAAAGCTAGAATTTTAATTTTGTGGGGCTGGGAGACAGCTGAGTTGGTAAAGTGCTTGCTGCTCAAGCTTGAGAACCTGAGTTTGAGCACCAAAACCCTTGTAAAAGCTGTGTGTGGTGGCACATGCTTGTAGTCGACTGGCGGGGAGGTGGAGACAGCAGAATCCCGCCACTCGCTGGCCAGTCTAGCCTGCTTGGTGAGCTCCGGGCCAGTGAGAGACTGTTTCAAAAACCAAGGTGGACAGCACCTGAGGAATGACAGCTGAGGTGGACCTCTGGCTTCCATATGCTCACACACATATGTCCACCCCCACACAAGCATCTGTGTGCATACACATGCTACCACACATACACCCCCACACACAGCTGCCACCCCACAAATTAAAAAAAAAAAACACTTTGTAAACCCACTTAAAACATTTTCAGTCTCTCTTCCTTGTGACTTGGCATTGGATTCATATTTTCATATTCATCAAAAGATGCACAGTGTGTCTACCTTTGAATTTTTGCAAAATAACCAGAAGTTATTGTTGGGTAAAACACTGCTTTCTTATATTTGTTTGTCTAATAAGATGGAAACTTAAATTTTATTGTAGTACCAGTTTTCCAAGATTCACTTACATGAATACTTGCCAACATATTATTTGTTTTCCCTCTGACGTTGCTAGTGAATAAAATTTTGATTTGTCAAATTAAAGAAAAACATTTTAAAGAAAATATCTAATTGACTAGTTACCCACATTAAAGACTAAATTAAAACCACAGATTAATAAATCTTGACGAGATTACTTTCAGTTCCCTATGGAGAATTCTGTGACGTGACGGGAATCTACGAACATACAAGGAGCCTTGGATTACAAAATTGTAATTTTGTTTTACTGAAAATTGCTTTAAATCATCTCCCTTTCTTGTCCTTTGAATCTTTCTTTCTATTGTTTGACATTCTCTAACTCAATATTTGCAAATACGATGTTGAGTTAACATTTCTGAAAAGTAAACACATAAATCAAGTTACTGATCCTTTGGATTCTTTCCATCACGATCATACCTATGACGAGGATGATTTTGGGCCGAGGCCTGGTGGGGTCAAACACCTCATATTCTTCGATTAGCTCTGCAGTCTCAGACAGGTCCGTGTCGCTTTCTATGGAGAATTGATGGATTGGAGGGAGTCGGTCGTAGCGTCGATAAGGAAAGTTCGAATTTTCAGGCATTACTGCAAAAGAGTAAGATAACTTTGAAAAGGAAAAAAGGCACAGAGAAGCATTTTCCACAGTTGACCAATTAGCATAAGGAATTTAGTAAATGAGTCTCACTCAGGAGACAAAGAGAACACTGACGACCCAACAACCCCTGCACAAGGGAGGCAGGTGTCCACTGGGCCTTCAGTGAGGGATCCGGCTCAGGAAGCCACTGTAGCTACACACAGCAGTGCTCACATCTCCCCCCACCCCCCAGATGCTCATCAGTTAGAACTTTCCGTTCTCTGCTGATCCAACACACAAGACCATCTGACCACTGACTTGCTGGACTCTGTTTAGTTCCAAGAAAAGGGTCTTCAGGTAGCCGTAGACAGCTTTTAGGAAACGTGAGGAAAGGCTTTATGGGGAATGGAACTGATGGTAGAGGTTACTCCTCTGTCTTAAAATGTCATCATTTCACCCAACACAAGGAAGCACGTAAGCATCAGCCTTGATTACTTTCTTTTCTCATGTGTCACTGACTCAGGGGCTTTCTCACCAGAACACATTGCCAATGCATAGCCTGCCCTCATGTCCCCTGCATGACTCTTCCCTGAGGCATCACCATATTTACCAGGGTGATTAGCAGATTCTTTACTGGTCTACCTGCTTCCACATTGACTTGCATTCCATCTCCTAAAATGCTCCTGCCTTGTTGGATCAATGACTGACTCTTTTTGTTATTTAAACCTCAAATGTCACATTCTGAAAGAGACTTTTACTGACTTTCTGAACTGTGGCTCTCAAAGACATAGCTCTAATGCTCTCCACATTGCCTATGACTTTGCTGAGAGGTTCCCATTCATCATTCATTGTCTTCTATTACACTGTAAACTCTGAAAGCTGAGACCTTCTTTATGATTTGGAACTATGAATTCCTGACATCCATTTGGTGAATGGCCAGTGTCCAATAAGCATTTGTTGAATTAGTAACAAAGGGAATACCTTGTTGAGATAGCTTGCCACAGAGAAAAATCCAGAAGATGAATAAGTAGAGGATGTCCAGATTGTACAGAGCTTGAATTGTGAGTAAAAGGTTTAGATTTAACCTAATAAAAACACAGTGGGAGATTTGGGGAGGTATGGAAAAGTGACACAAAGAAATGTATTTTAAAATATTTTATTAAATTATTTTTATTTTATGTGTATGAATGTTTGCCTCCATGTATGTATGTACACCACATGCATGCAATGCCTGCAGAGGCCAGAAGAAGACATCAAATATCCCAGAAGTGGAATTACAAATGGTTGTTAGCTGCTATGTGGGAGCTGGGAACCAAACCCAGGTCCTCTGCAAGAGCAGTCAGTGCCCTTAACCACTGAGCTATCTATCCAGACCCAATAAATATATTTTATTTATTTATATGTTTTTATTTTATGTGTATGAATGTTACACATGCATGTATGTAAGTGCACCCATGTCATGCAGTGCCCACAGAAGACAGAAGAGGGTATCAGATACCATGGAACTGGAGATACTATGGTTTTCCCATAGCTGGAATTCGAACCCAGGTTCTCTGCAAGAGCAGCCAGTGCTCTTAACCACCAAACCATCTCTCCAGCGCCAAGAAACATATTTTTTAAAAAGAAACCTTAGATATAATGGACTTAAGCACAGAAAGAGGAGGAGTAGAGAGAACACTATGAGGCTGTAGTAACCCATCAGAGAAGAATGAGGCTTGGGCCAGGCTCTTAACCAAAACAGTGGCAATGAATTGGCTACATATGAACAAGATGGTTAGGGCTGGAATACAAGGAATAAAGTAGGCATCGGTTCTAAAACCATTTTCAGGTTTCAAGCCTAAAAGGATAAGGTACACACTGCATTGCAGATAATAACTCTGTGCTTTCCTTTCTGTTCTAGATAGGCTGGGTTCCTCTTGTTCCTGAACACACCTATCATCTCATACCGTCTTTTTTTTTTTTTTTTTTTTTTTTTTTTTTACCTCAGGGAGTATTAGCAGATCACTTCTAGGAACCCCAGCCTAGCATAGGCCCAAGTCCCTTAGTATAGTCAGTTCTAAAACATGGGGTATCGATGGTTAGTTTTGATTGTCAAATTTATCAGATTAAGAAATTCCTAAGGCATTGGTGTGGGGTGCCAGACTGAAAAAAAGGAGGAAAAGGACAAAATCAGCTGAGCTATGGCATTCTCCACTCTGCTTCCTGACTCACTGAGATGTGAACAAGTAGCCACACACTGCCACACACAGACCTGGTCCTGCTGCCAGGCCTCCCCCACCATGATGGACTGAATCTCCTGAAACATGGAACAAACAGGCCTTTCCTTCGTTAAGTTGCTTTTTGTCAGGTAGCTGACCACTGCAACAAAATATTAACACAGTATTTTCTAGAGCATCCATTATGTTTCAATTAATCATCAGACAGACCTTTCAGTGTACTGTGGTGATGAGAATATTTAGCCTTGCTATCCCATACCTGGAATATATGCTAAAAAGAGATGCAAAATACTTTTTCTAAATTCATTTATCTTGTAATTAATGTTTTTGTTGTTTTATGAAATAATTTACATACTTAACCTTTATAAGATTTTTTAATTTGCTTTTGTTTGTTTTGAAATGCTGAGGACTGGACTCAGGGTCATGTATGTAAGACGAATATTCTACCAACTGAACTCTATCTCCATCTGCTTTGTAGGTTTAAACTGTAATTGGTGGAATACGTAACTAAATTAACCAAAATTGACAACTACTCCTGAGATTTAAAACAAAATGGTTATTTCTAGAACTAGAGTAATTCATAATTTTTTTACAAAAAATATTGGCACAAATATACTAACATATTATTATCTTGAAAAACTACTCTATGACAAAAAACATTTTCATCACTCTAGCAATGACTTTCCTAAATTAAAACATGATAACACAAAGTTATTGACTGACCTATCTTTAAAGTGTTAATGTGGGATGGGGATCCTTTTTCCTTCTGTTGGGTGCATACCACTGAATCAAGAATTACCTGTCAATTAAAGTTCTAGTCCCAAATACCCAGAAAGTTTCTCTTCTGGGGCATCTCATTAGATTATGTGCAGCATGCCTAAAACCACATGCATCATATTTGCACTGAAAGCAATATTCAGTTCTCCTTTTCCTCTTTGTTTCCACGATGTCAGTCAGTGACTTAATTTTGAAATTAAAAAAAAAAAACATTTATTGAGTACCATTTTTAGGACTAACTTTGTCACTACCAAGAGAGAGCAGAGGGCATCTATGCTCAGGGAGCTCCCAGTGTAGCAGTGGAACCAAGCATTAAAAACATAATTAGTAGCCCAATGGATGCTCTGGGAAACACTGTGTTAATTGCTGTTTTGGTTGCAGTGGTCAGCTACCTGACAAGAAGAAACTTAACGAAGGAAAGGCCTGTTTGTCCCATGTTTCAGGAGATTCGGTCCAGCGTGGTGGGGGAGGCCTGGCAGCAGGACCAGGTCTGTGTGTGGCAGTGTGTGGCTGCTTGTTCACATCTCAGCGAGTCAGAAGGCAGAGTGGGAATGCCATAGCTCAGCTGGTTTTCTCCCTTTTCCTTTTTTATTGCTAGAGTGTTAAATTAACAAGTGGTTCCATTCCTATTTTAATGTGTCCTGCCAGCTCAGGAGTTCCAAACTGGTCATTTATAAATGCCACATGTCCCATCTGTGCATTTTTTTCAGCTCTACCTTCTAAAATTTGTATCTGTCTGCCTTTAGACAATGATTGTTCTCTCTAGCTCTGTTCTCTGGTGTGACCACTGTCTTCTCCATTCTCTGTTGTACACGTGGCAGCCTGGATTCTATGTACTATCAAACCAAAGAAATAATATCAAGATGTAATTTTGTTGAAAATAGACATTTTCTATGCCAACTTGGCTAGCAACTTCTCAGCTGATTGAATGCTGTAAACCCTTAGATTTGAATTTTTCCAATGTAAAAATGTCTTAGATTAAATCCAGTAATACTTCAAGTTTATTAATGTTTTGAGGTTTAAAATAAGTTTATGTCACTTATCTAACAAGGGCAAGGGCTATGTATTTAACATTATGCCAAATTCTAAAGGTATAATGACTCCCTGGGAAATAAGTAGGCCATTTGGGGAAGACATATGAACTTTTGAAGACTTCTAAAATATTCTGATTAGAGGTGTGCTGCAGGAGAACTGGCTAAAGTTACTCTGGCAGCTGCAGCCTCCAGATGTACCAAATCTGCGCTGTGTGTATGCATTTGAACTGAAGCTCTAAATTCCAATTCTGTTCACTCAACTACTCTGAAATCCTAGGCTGTTCTCAACAAGCCAGAACACTCACTGATTTACAAAGAATGAAATTTTCAACTTAGGACTGACATCATTTATTAGCCAGAACTGGGAATATTGGTAGACTATATGAGAAGAGGAAGGAAAAAAAATCACTTTAGAATTAAAATAGTTCTAAGGATCAAATTAAAATATTTGGTGCAAGATTACTTTTGTAAGAATAGAAGACACGACCTCAACCAAGGAAGTTAGTCCGGATGTGACGACACAGCTTATACTGTACTGAGTGATACTTAAGTGAACGCTAGGATGGACCTTGTACAATAATGGGATCAACTTCTCTCTGAGTCTCCTAATGGTAATATTATTGTCTTATGGTCACACTAAATATATCCTATTTCTCAGAAGTTTTTTTTGTCTGTTAGAAAATCAAAGTTTCTGACATTAGTTTCAAACAGCAATTTCAGATATTTCGGTCGCATCTTAGTATCACTAGCTCACATAATTTTCCAGTAAAACACGAGTACCCCAACTTAAATCACTTAGTTTTGACTCCTGTGCGTACAAGGAGGGATGCTTCTCCCTCTGGGCGTGTTCTTACTGGAATGACGTGTCTGCATCTCCTCTTGAACTTCTTGGGGTTGTGAGCCTGAGCCTTTGCCAGCTAAGGTATCTCTCCAGCCGTGAGATGCTTAAACATTAGCACATCATGATATTTTCCCACACCGCATTCAAATAAAATCTAAGTGGGTCATGACTGAAGTAGGTTACACAAACTAAGGGTCGTTTTCTTCTTATATTTACTAAAAAGAGAATACTCCAGTTCAAATTCTGTTGGTATGGCTAAAACCAACAATTTTTGAGAATAGTTTAAAATTTTTAAAGGTTTTTAAAAATATTTTATTTATTATTTTTATTTTATGTGTATGAATGTTATCTTGCATGTAAGTGAGTACACCCGTGTTGCACAATGCCCACGGAGGACAGAAGAGGCTGTCGGATCCCCTGGAACTGGAGTTACAGACAGTTGTTAGCTGCCAAGTGGGTGCTGGGATTCAAACCTGGGTCTTCTGCAAGAACAGTCTGTGTTCATAACCACTGAGCTATCTCTCCAGCCCCGAGACTAGTTTAAAATTTAAAAATATAATGGTCTTAGCCACTAGAAAAGAATTAATTTAGCTTCCCTGGTTGGAATGGATTCTATTTTTTCACATACAATTGTACTTACAATTTCATCCGCAGCAGCCTTGAAGACTGACTGGACCATGTTTCTGACAAGCATGAGTTTCAGAGAGTGCTCTAGCAAATTCCAGCTCTCGGTTCTCAACTGCTGCTAACACAGTAAACAAGTTGCTTCTGCTGCTTTCATAGTGCACCCAAATGCCAAATCTATTCTATTCAGCAGTTGCTTAGTGAATCTTTATTGAATTAACCCATACAAACCTCACATGTACTTATGGAAACACATTAATATGAGCCTTGGTCTCAAAAGTGTATTAGTAAGCCAAAGCACTTTCTAGCTAATGAAAAAAATATTGGATTGTTATATAATAAGTAGGAATTTTCCTATATTCTACTAGTGTATTTGGAAAAAGCCTATTTGCAATTTAAAAATAAAGTCATGTTTTAAAAATGTAATTCATCCTACAAATAATGAATTTGGCAATATAAATTTTCAGAAAATTGCTGGACAATTCTAATTTTGTTCTTCTTAACAGGGGTATTTAGAATTAGAAGCAGAAAAGGATAATTTTTCTCAGAGAACTTACACATCCAATCAATTCGAGTACCCTCTCCAGTCCGTATGGTATGTTCTAAGAGCTCTGCTCTGCCTGTGCAAGGCCTGTTACTCTACACACACATTACCATTTCGCAGGAAGGATCTCCGTGACTGTCCTCCATTCAGTGGGGGTAAGGTCTTCTTCTCCTGGCTGACAAATGTGTCCCATTTCACCTTGTCACAGCCACCGAGCTCCTTGACTTTCTGCAAACAACTTTCTAGGAACTCTATGGGGTCTTCAGGCTTAGAACACATCAATCCATTCAAAAGGCTCTGAGACACAAAAAAGCACAAATGAGATGCATTCGGACACTACCCTTGTGAAAATGTTATGTCTCATCTCTAAATGCCGCTTGCTCTCAGGCTTTTCATTCTTCAGTTTTTAAGTTGTTATATAAAGTAATGGACTTTACAGTGACACGTCATACCTGTTTGTGTATCGTATTTTCCTCATACTCACATCCCATTACCTCTGTCACCCCCATCCCACTGGTCCCTGTTCTTTACCCCCAGTGTTTCCCCCACTTTCATGTCATACATATGGATACATATGTTTAAATCTAGGTTCCACATAGGAGACAGAATAGTCAACGTTTGCCCTTTCCCCCACTGTCCTCTCGTATCTTTAGTCTCCTCCCTCCAACAAGGAGTCTCGCTTATACTTTCAAGCCATTTACTTATTTATTTAAGTGTATATTTTACATGAGAGAAAACCTGTGACATTTGTCTTTCAGAGCCTGGCTTATTTCACTTAACATGATGACCTCCAATTCCATCTACGTCCCATGTGTCTTCAAGAATGACTTAATTTTGTTCTTCTGTATAGCTGGTTAAAATTCCATTGTGTATGCTTACTACATTTTCTGTACCCATCTGTCCTAGTCATCTTCAGCTGTCAACCGCAGACCAGAGTCATCTGAGAGAGTCTCAATTGGGGGATTATCCAGATCAGACTGGCCTTTGATCATGTCTGAGAGATTGTTTCTGATGATTGATGTGGGTTGGTGCAGGCCACTGTGTGTGGAGCCATCCTTAGGCAGGAGGGTCTAGGATAAGAAAGCTAGCTAAGCAGGAGTGTGGGAAGGAGGGAGGGAGGGAGGGGGAGAGAGTGAGAGAGTGAGAACCAGAAAACAGAATTCCTCCAAGGTTTCTGCTTCACTTCCTGCTTGAGCTCCTGCCCTAATTTCCCCTGATGGATAGTTACTTCAAAGTATAAGTCAAATAAAGGATTTCCGCCCCAAGCAGCTTTTGGTTATCACCTAAGGTGATTTCCTTTCTCAGCTATTGTGACTAGTGTCACAATAAACAGGATATACAGGTATCTCTGAGATATTTGTAGATTCTTTGGGGCATCCAGGAGTGGTTTGGAGTCAAGTGGTAGTTCTAATTTTAGTGTTGTTGCTGTGTGAGGCAGGGAGTCCTACAGCCTAGGCTGGTCTCAAACTTGCCATTGAGGATGACCTTGAACTTCTGACCCTCTTGACTCCACCTCCCAAGTGCTAGGATTACAGGTATACAGCACCACATCCTGTTTATGCAGGGCCGGGGCTTGAACCTAGGGTCACAGGCATCTTAGCCAGCACGGTACCAACAGAGCTGTATCCTCAGTCTATTCTGAGGAAGTTTCGTCCCGTTTTCCATAGTGGCTACACTCAGACGCAATCCCACCAGCAGTGCATACAGGTCTTCCCAAGTCCCTCTGCACCCTCTACAGCACATGTTTAATTTCTTGGTTTAGCCATTCTGACTGGGGAGATGAAATCTCAGGGTGCTTGAGATTGGCATTTCCCTGATGATTAAGGATACTGATCACTTTTTTTTTTTTTTTTTTGCCAGTTCTTCTTTTGGGGACCGTCTGTTCAATTCCTTTGTCCATTTATTGATTGGATGATATGCTTTGTTGGTGTTTGAGCTTGATCATATATTTTACATATTAATCCCTTGTCAGGGTGATAGCTGACAAACATTTTCTCCACTCTGTAAGCTGTTTCTTCACTTTGCTTCCTTTGCTATGCAGAAACTTCGATTTTGTGTAATCCCATTTTTTATTCTTGCTAATATTTCTGGAGCTACTGGATTCTTTTCCAGAAAGCCCCTGCCTGTATCTTGAAATATCTTTTCTGTTTTCCTCTAGCAGTTTCCAAGTTTCAGATCTTACATTAAGTAAGTAAGGTCTTTGATCCATTTTGAATTGATTTTTGTACAAGGCAGAAGATAGAAATCCAGTTTCGCTCTACATGTGAACACCTAGTTTCCCAGTACCATTTGTTAAAGAGGCTGTCTATGCGCCAATGTTTGTTTTTAGCACTTTTGCCAAAAAATGGATAGCTGTAGCTTTATGAGTTTATTATGAGATCCTGTATTCAATTCCACTGGTCCACATGCCTGTCTCTGTGCCCTTCACCTGCTGTTTTTGCTGCTCTGGCTCTGTAGCATGATTTGAGACCTTGTATAATGATATCGCCAGTATTGTGCCTTCTGTTCTTGCATTTATTTTAAAGCACAATTTGGATCGGAACTGTGGTCTGATTTAGGAATTAAAATGATCCTTTAACTTCCTTACCAGTTAGCTTTCAGATCAGCATTCTCTGCCTTTTAAACAATTCAGGCAATCTTGTAGTTCAGTACAGAAGAGTTTGATCAAAGCAAGATCAAGTGCAGCATGGGAAAACGCCCCCAGCCATTATTCACTTATTTGTTTACATCTTTAAAGTCTTATCCCATCGTCAAAGTCTGTAAGCCTTAGTTCTGTTGTAAATGGGGGCAATGATCCCTATCTCACAGGGTTTAAAAATAATTTTAAATATATATTTCAGTAGTGCCTATTAAGTGCCTCGGTTATAATACATGCTCAACAAATGCTGGTTTTAGTTACTGCTATCATAATTATCACTAAGTCTCTCCTGAATACCTAGGTTGGCTTGTGGACCCTCTCTTTTGTGTTCCCATGGTACCCAGGATAAAACATCACATGCCATTTATACAGAAACATTAGTTTATGTGTCAGTCTCCTCTTCTAAACCATAAGATTTTCAGCAAAATAGAATAGGCTTCATGTAGTTTTCAGTCTGAGGCACCTGATACTTTCCGTGGTGCCTAGCAGGTACATATTAAGCTTTTATTAGGACCAAAAGATAGTCCCAATCTCAAGTCTGAGTGAGACTTAAAACGGAAGTCAGAGATTTAAAAAGTGCGATTTGATCTGCAATAAATCTCCATGATTACAGAGGAAAAGTATAATCCTGGTTTTTTGTTTTTGTTTTTTTAATTCATGGTACCTGATGTATCATCTGTAGTAGTTTCCAAAAATTTCTTAAGTTGAAATACCAATTCCTGGGAAGTAGATGATGTGAAAGTTATTTTCCATGGAAAATGTATGGACTATTATCACCTATATATTATTAATGTACAGATCATATACCGTTGGAAAGGTTGTCATATCTAAACATAGTATGTTCATTTTTAAATTTGTTTTGTAAAATTTTCCAAGAATGGCAGGCAATTTGTATTAGGTGCAAATGTTTTCTGAAATCTAAATAGAGTGACTGAGGCACACAGCTCCATCAGGTGAGTTCAATTGCTGAAGCAGAGAAACCAATTTCTGTGGTTGGTGCGGCATACACACACTGCAGGTTAGCTTGCCACACTCCTGTGACCCTCTGAGCCAGAACTAACTGCATCAGCACATAAGGACCGTATGTCTCACATGCATTCTCATATGTGTGCTCACTCACATGCACTGTCAGCCCTGTCCCTATTTTATTGGTCAGGAAATTATGTCTTAGAGATGTTGGTGCCTTATTCAAGCTTAGGTTCAGGATTCCAATCCCATTTCTGATGGCAAAACCCATATATTTTTCTCCATGCATCTTATAAAAATATGATATGGGATAAAAGAAAACACCAGATTCTCTGCACCCCATACATAAGCAAACCACTTAAAAACTAGACCTTTTACTTTTGCCTTTTCCTCATGCCTAAATTGTGTGTCTATGTGTAATGGAAGGTTTCCTGACTGTAAAATAGACTTTTCAAGCTCTCCCAAACAGAATGAATTCCCTAAAGAGCAATGATTTTTTTAAAGGGGTCAATGAGCTCCACTCCTTTGATCATTTAAGTCCTTTTTTCTAATAGCCAGTCTCCCTCTGGGACTGAAGATAACTAGTATATGTCAGTTTTTGAGTTAATGTTTTGAAACCGTGATTAATCTAATTGGAGTCTATAGAATTCAAACTAATTGACGTCTCCACTCTAAGGTACAAGATCAATACACACATTATAAGGTTGGGCAGAATTAGGGACACAATAAAACTAGCAGAAAAATTTAAAAAAACGATTTTAACTTAAAAGTGGACATATTTTCCAAATACGAACCTACTAGGTATCCTATTCCACATTTAACCTTCCCAGCATTCCACACAGGAAGAAACCTGAAGAGCTCCATCATATATCCAGGTGCTTGGTGATCTGCACATTCAGTCATCAGTTACTGACAACACTGGTACCTGATACCAACAACTGTTTAGGGGTTCCACAGCTATCTGGTTAAACTTCACGTAGCTAGACTGTTAAATTTGATGCGAAAATCGATTTGGGAAACCTCAAGTGTTTGGCTTCTGTTGTTTATGCCCATCACCCAGGGAGTCAGGTCTCCTTCCCTCTGCCCTGTGCACAGCAGGTTCATCTCACTCTGGATGGAACTACCTGCCACCACTTAATTTGCATACACAGCTTAGATTTTCACGGAACACCCAGGTCCTCCGTGGTTACCTCAAACCAAGGAAGAAAACAGTTCCCACATTATAAAGAAAAAAGACCTCAATCAAGCCATATTTTGCAATCAGGTGACCCCCTGACTGATGATTCTAACCATTCTTTTAGAAGTATAGAAATGGAGCTGATCTCAGTCTTAAAATTTGTAAAAAAATATAATGGTCTTCATCATCTTTTAGCTCTTCATTTCTTTATTTGTTTTGGAAAAACAAACAAAAAAATTCTCAAGACTTCCACACGCTTGAGGCCAGTCCTTATTCAAGGCCACCTGATGTAGTTTTGTTTTTTGTTCTGTGTATGTGTGTGTGTATTTTGGGGGTGGGTGCTGGTAACTGAACACAAGGCCTCACACATGCTAGTCAAGTGCTCTACCACTGAGCTACATCTCCAGACCACCACCTAGCTGTTTTCACGCTTGCAAAACAGGCTCAGTAGATCTGACTTCACATATCAGGCAAGAGTGAGCTCAGTGGGTTATTTACCTGGAAATCTTGACTCCAGATGACCCCAAAACAGTAGCTTTGGAAAGGGTGACAGAAAATGAAGATCTGTAACTACCGCAGCCAGAGTTAACGATAGCTTTGGGGGGTAAAATCTAGTGCAAAAATTATTTTCTCAAGTGATCTTGTACTTTCCTTTTAACAGAACAAATACCCCAAACAGGGAAAAGAACAACGTGGCCTTTAGTTTATTATATTAGTCTACCATTTCCTTTGAAATGGGAGGCCAGCTTTTTCAGGGACGTCCTAGGAAGCTTGGCTTGGTGCCATTCTTTTTTAAATTGTGTTTTGTTTTATAACCTAAGCCAGGGCACTTCAGATTTAGGCATATTTTAAAATGCTGGATGGAACGAAGGAAAGGAGCAGACGTCTGAGGGGGCTCTGTCCCTTCTTCAGCTCATCCCTCAAGCTTCCTTTCCCACATTCTTAGTGTTCCCGCATAGCCCCGCATCGCCCTCCCTTCCCCCCCGGTCCCGGGTAACGGTGATGCTGCCTCACCAGCGGAGGCCAGCAACCCGAGTCACACCTGTCTGGCCGCTCCAGTCTCTGTAGGTGGGCGGAGGACGCAGGCGGAAGGCTGCAGCCGGGGAGGCAAGCGGGGAGAACCTTTCAAGCACCCGGAAAACGTGCCCAGGAGTTCATTCACTGAAAAGCGCAAAGCTGCACCGACTCAGTGCCTGTCACCCAGGACGTAGCGCTGCACTCCATGGGCTGGGATTCTGGTTTTTATTTATACCTTCATCCCTCTTCTCCAAGCTGTTCCTGGGTAGGGCTGCTATGGCCCACCAACCCTTGGCGCCTGGGGCGACTAGGGCTCTGGACCCTCCAGTTTCCAACCCAGTCTCCATGTGGGCGACCGTTCACTCACCTGGCCTGACCCTCGCCCCTCGAGAGTGCTGCCGGGCCTCCGTGCGCTGCCCACCCTGGGTGCCCACCTGTGAGGGTGCGCTGGGGGCTGCCCACATGCAGAACCCAGTTTGAAGAGGGGAAACTTGAGCCGTGCATCTGAAGGAACCCGGGCAACCCCAGGGACAAGCGACGCGGGCTGGGGCGAGGGGACCGCCAGCTCTGTGAGCACCTTCACTTGAGCCCCGCGCGGGAAGGTGGAACCCGGCACAGACTCTCTGCGCCCGGGGATGCCGGCTCCGGATGCTCGGATGCTCGGGATGCTGGGCAGCCTCTGGCCGCCCCCCAGGCTCTTACCTCGAAAAGCTGAGGAATGTCCCTCCGGGCCAGGTACTCCTTGGCGTCGTTGGTGTTCATGGCTGTGCCGCGCGTGTCGTGGGACGCAGACGGGTTGGCTCCGGGACTGCGGGGCCCCGGGGCTGGGCAGGCGGGGCGCAGCGCTGGCTCCGAGGCGCGCAGGCCAGGGTGCCCCTCGGCGTGTCCCGGGCGCAGCTTCTCCCGGGCGGTGTAGTCCGCGCTCCCTCCACCCCCGCGTCCGCGCGGGTCCCCGAGCCCAGCTGCGCGCTCCGAGCAGCGGCGAGGCGGCTTCCCGGGCGCTAGGGGAGGGGCGCGGAGGAGGACAGCGCGCCGACGCCACCAGCCGCCGCCTCCAGCTCTGCGAGCTCGGCCCGCGCCTCCCGGAGCCCCGCCGTGCGGCGGCCGCCAGTCACGCCAAGCTCCGCGCCGCGGGGTGGGGGTGGGGGGGACGCGTGGGCCGCAGTCACACCCCTGCTGGCCGCACCCGCATGGGCGCTGGGCGGGACCCAGGGCCAGGACCAGACAACTGGAACCTGAGATATTTTCACTCCTCCAGATCCTTTCTGTACACACACACACACACACACACACACACACACGTATGCGCCCGAACTCCCGGGGGGGGGGGCTACCAAGTCAGAGAATTCACCGTTTATTCTTAAAGTTATTGATTTTCCAGTGGTTGACAGGGATCTAGGAGGGAGGGCAGAGGAAAGAGGACGCCTGGATCAGCATCCACCCACTTCAGGTCATTTAACATTTCAGTCCCTCAGCCCTGAAGGAAAGTTTTGCTAGCTGGTTTCACATTTTTTTCCTGCCGAAGTCACAAAGTCTTACTCATTTGAGTATACGGCCGGGGATCATTAGCAGAGAGATTAGTAACTAGACAAATAATTGTTTCCATGCAGAAGAGGAAGACTGCGACGGTGGAAATCCAGAGACCCTTTAAACTAGAACTTGGTTGGTGGGGTGCGGGGCATCAGATTGGACGAGCATGTGGTGGGGGGCCTAAAGGTCAGCAGAACCCCTCAGCAGAGGATGGTTAGTTGGGGAGGACTCTTGGGTGCCCAAGGGTTAATGCGCAATGAGCCTTGTATTGCAGATCGTGGTAAAGGTGTGTCCATCCTTCAGCACCGAGATGACTCATTTCCCACACCAAGATGTCTTTTCACTGCCTGTCTGAGAGATGCTCCATGGCTCTTGGGATTGCGATCTCTAACTGCATACAAGGCCCTTACACTGTGGGTGTGTGGGCGTGAAGGAAAGGCCACTCTTGCTGGCATCTGGGGTCTGGTGGAAGGCAGCATCTTAAATGCTCCCCAAACTCAGTGAATGCCTGTTTCAAATTCGCCTTTAGCCACCTATTCTTGGTTCTGTGTCTTGTCACACATCAACCGCTGCTCAAGCTTCAAGAAAACTGAAGCTTTGCCGCCAGGGAAGGAGCTCAAAACTTGATTAGCTAAGTTTTGTAAGGTAAATGAAGTTTGTGAGCACTTGTGAAGCCATGTGTCATAACCCTGTCGTAAGGTAGCCTTAAACAGGGCAGGCATTTCAGCTCGTGGGGATCTGTGTCCCCTGTGAGAACATGGCCCAATTTCCATTTCTTTAGCTTGTTTAAGAGCAGGCTGTGGAAGGAGTCACAGCTGCCTCTTCCCTTATGTGACCATGTTTGAGAAGTGCCAGTGGCTGATGGAACAGCAGAAGTGATGCACATGGAACGCAAGAGGGCATTCCTGTAGGACTTTCCAAGGTCATTCTTTCTAAACAAGAATTTGGCAGAACAGAGTATACAACCTCTGACCTCCTGGTTCTGTTTTTGTTTGTTTTTAAAGGGATGTATAGCGTCCGTCATCGAGCTCAGCAAGTGATAGCAACTTCATTGTAAAAAGAGCTTGGATAAGAAACACTGCATTGCACTAAATTGCCGCTGACATGGAAAAAGACGTAGCAAATGGAGATAGAGACTGACAGTCAATGCTTTGTGGTGTGTCCTAGGGAGGAGAGAGACGCGTGAGGGTTAAGATGCTCATTAAGTACTTTGGCAGAGTGTGGCCTCACAGGGATTGGACATATTCAAAAAGTACAGTGCTTAAAAGCTGGGCTGATGGTTTGGAAGTGAGGGCAGGACAAGAAACACTAAGTATGTCTCTGCTCCACGTGAGCTTCCCTGTCATGACTGGGATGAGGGTTTGAGAGTGGGTAGAGGAAGGGCTTGCAGCCCTTTGCACTTTGGAGATACACTCCTACAGACTCTAACAAACAGAGTAAGGCTTGCTCTGTGCCTGCTGTATTTCTTAAAAAATTAGCACATCATGACATTTTCCCACACTGTATTCAGATAGAATCTAAGTAGGTCACAACTAAGTTTAAATAAACTGAGATTTGCTTTTGCTCTACATTTAATACAAATGAAACTATCCCCATCCTCTTCAGGTTCTTTTGGTATAGTTAAACCGTTCTGTACGGGGCTGGAGAGGTGGCTCAGAGGTTAAGAGCACTGGCTGTTCTTCCAGAGGACCTGGGTTCAATTCTCAGCACCCACATGGTGGCTAGCAACCGTTCATAACTCCAGTTCCAGGGGATCCGAAGCTCTCTTCTGACCTCCTCGGGCATTGCACAACAAGGGTACATTTACACACATGCAGGCAATACACTCATACACATAAAATAAAAATAACAAATAAGGGCTGGAGTGATGGCTCAGCAGTTAAGAGTACTGACTGCTCTTGCAGAGGACCTGGGTTCGATTCCCAGCACCCACATGGTGGCTACGAACCATTCTTAACTCCAGTTCTAGGGGAATCCGAAGCCCTCTTTTGACCTCCATGGCAATGCACGACACGGGTGCACTCACATTACATGGAGGCAATACACTCACACACATAAAAATAATAAATAAAATATTTAAAAAATAATAAAATATTTTTAAAACTTTTGTACTACAATTTTTGAGAATGGTTAAACTTTTATGGATATAAGGTGCTTGGCAACCAGAGAAGGATTAATTAAAATGTCTCTTATGGTCACATTTTGGGAGACTATGCTAGCTTATGCTAGATATGACAATGCTAAGACAGACATGATCCCTTGGTGGCAAGGAACTTATGTTCTTTTGGAGAATGTGTAAGAGATGTGATGGGGGCCAGCAAGATAGCTCAGTGGGTAATGGTGCTTGCTGCCAAGGCTGGTGACCTGAGTTCATTCCCCCAGTCTCACATGATGGGTATAAGGAGACAACCAACGCCTGCAAGTTGGTGTCTGACCTCCACACATATGCTGTGGCACTGTGACATCTGTGTGAAACACCCACATCCACACAAATACATGCACATAAATATAATGTAATTAAAAGTTTAAGAAGTACAATGGAGAATAAGCGCATAAAATGGACAGATGAACAGCAAATGGAAAGATAGCCAGAGAGAAAGAGAAGAAAAAAGACCCAGTAAGAATGTGTCAGATAGTGGCGCATGTGATGTGAAAATCAGAACTAACTCTATTGACTTGAAGCAAGGAGGTGGCACCCACATCTGTCCTGTGGAAGGGGCAGAGGAAGTAGGACAGGGACAATCCCAAGATGATGACTGGGATTTCCGTGGGGCTAGGCGTCCTTGAGGAGGAAGGAGCTTTGGGAGGGATGATTCCCTGAGTCATCCCTGAGGAGCCTCTCTGCTAATACATGGACCATGTGTCAGCAAAGGGCCAAGCCTGCTGGGCCCTGTTCTTCGATTGCCTACCCACATAAAGGAGGCTTGAGGAGTTTATACAGGATAGCACTCCCGAATCCTAGACAGACACCTGGAGACAGCACTCACCCAGTCAGTTGCTCCTAGGAAGGATGTCCTGTCATCCATCATCTACCTATGGCCAGTTTGGCATGGAAGACCTTAGCAATAGGAAAAAATATTTCTCATAGAAGAAAGGGTTTGGCTGGTGGGGGGATAGGAGAGGATGGGGGTATGATCAAAGTGCCTTATATATGCATGTTTGAAACTGTGAAAGAATAAACACTTTAAAAATAGTAAAAGGATAGAAAAAAATCTACTGGTAACATTTAAAAAAATGTTTTTTCTCATGTTGTGGTGCCTCCCCTGAAGATGAGAGTGGAAAGCCACCAGCTGCAGGCACTGGTCTGGGTGACAGGAATGCTATGATGACAACTTTGGCCATAATACACGATAAAAATCTACTGAGTGTTCGTTATGAGTCAGGCATTGTGCTAAGCACTTTAAATAAAACTATACAGTATTACATATTTATGCATATGTCATTTAATTTCTAAAATAAGCTGTGAGATATATTATTCCCATCATGCAAATGAGCTGAAGCTCAGAGAGCCTAATTCCAGGTCATACTGATCGTAAGCATCCATTTGACTGTGGACTGGTGCCTCTAATCGTCACATCTCACCTTGCCTAGCACGCCAGCAGCTTTAATGCCTTTCAGGTTTACAAGTCTACAACTGTTTCTCTTTCTCTCTCTCTTTCTCTCATTCTCTCTATTTCTCTCTCTCACTTGCTCTCTATTTTTGTCTCTTTCTCTCTGTTCTGTCTCTCTGTCTCTCTCTGTTCTCTCTCTGACTCTCTGCCTCTGTTTCTCTATGTGTGTGTATACATGCATATGTATGTGGAGCTAGGGTTTGACATCAGGCCTTCCTTAGTCCAGTCCATCTTGTTTTTTGTCTCTCCCTGAACCTAGAGCTCATCCATTGGCTCAACTTACTAGTCAGTGAGCCCTGGGATCCTCCCGTCTCTGCCTCTACAACTCTGAGATTATAGGCTTGTGCCACCATGCCCAGCTTTTTTTTAAATGCATAGGTGCTGGGGTTTGAACTTGGGACCTCATGCTTGCATGGCAGGCACTTTACCCACTAACCCTTTCCCCAACCCCACTATCACTGGTTTTTAAGGGTCTTTCCAGCCTTCCTGTTTTTCAGCACATATTTGTTTTTTAAAAAATATTTTGATATTTTTATTTTCTGAATATGAGTGTTTTGCCTGCATGTGTGTAAGTGCACCCGTGTCATGCAATGCCTGCAGAGGTCAGAAGAGGGCATTGGATCCCCTGGAACTGGAGTTATGGATGGTTGTTAGCCACCACCTGGGTGCTGGGAATCGAACCCAGGACTCTTCAAGAGCAGCCAATGCTCTTAACCACTGAGCCACCTTTCCAGCCCTATGTTCCTTTTTTTTTTCACCCTACACAGGTCAGATGTTTAGATTCTGAATCTCAAAGACCACCAGGAATCTTGGGTTAGCATTTAAGAAATTGAGGCTCTCATAGTATCCGAAAGCAGTAGGAACATTTCCAACTAAAGTAATTTCTATCTAGTATTTTAAAAAGGCTGCAGTTCAGAGAAACTCTCCGTTGTCTTTTTGTTTATTGATTATTGGTGCATAGGGCATTTACTGATCCAACATTTATGCAATGGCC